AGGAATCACCTGTGATTTAAAGTGCAGTTTTGCTCTGAGAGGTATGTAAAATTGCCACCTTCCTATTCAGAGCTTCTGGGGACTGGGAATCAGAGCTGCTGAATTGGAGGGGCGGAGGAAGCAAACACTGCTCTTCCCTCTACTCTCCTCAGCCCCACTAGACCAGCCCTTAGTGGAAACAGAGGCGGGGGAGCAGGATCCTTAGCTCCAGGTAAGGAGACCAGCAAGAGCTGCCTGCCCAAGCTCAGGAGGTGGAGGGGAACTTTAAGCAAAGAAGAAGCTGTGTGATTAACCCCTTCCTCCTGTCCTGGGGTCAGTCAGAAGAAGAGATGGTGCTCTATCCTCATTTAGGCATCTTTGGAGTTAAAAAGGACTAAGGCAGGATGCTTCAGCCCAGCTTGCTTGCTGTGAGCCCCATCAGGATTTGGTTAACAAGGAGCTGGAGCATCTGAGACTACTGAAAACCTTGTGTGTATGTGCCTTTCTGTGCGTGCCTGCCTCTGTAGCTATATAGAGATATATTTAAAAGAAGGTTAATTGGTCTTCTGGGACCTATAAAGAACTTGTTAGGTTCCTCTGTGTGAGCAGTGACTGTATGAAACTTAATTACTAAGCCCGAATTATTCTTTTTTTTGGGGGGGAAGGAATCTCTAAGGTCCTTATTAAAACCTACAGAAAGTCTAAAGGATGATGGAATTAGAATTGATTTGTCCATGTTGATCACAAGAGCAAAGCAAATAAAAACGTTGAACTTTCCCCATGAAATACTAATGGGGGTCATATAGGCATGGCTTACACATCACTTTTGGGGGGATAAACAGAAACCGCTGTGTTGAATGGCAAGAATAGCAGACTGCAGACTTTCAGGTATGGTGCACTCTTTATGCTGAGGGCAGGAAAAATAGACACTTAGATGTTCTTGTAGGGAGCATTTCACAAAACAGCCATCTCAGATGTATTTTCAGGCTGATTAACTTTGTAAAATCAGAACAGAAAAAGAAAAGGACTTCTGTATAGGAAAATGTACATTGATAGGAAAGAGAAAATAGCCATTTAAAGAGAAGGAAAAAAAAAAAAAAGAAGCTGTAATGTGGCTTTGGTCTGAAATGCCCAAAAGCATTTCCTTTGGATTTTTTCACTGTGGTTTAGAGTTTGCTGAAGTGCTGTGGGTGGAGACCAAAGCTTTCTCTATGTGGTGGAGGCACAGCTTAAGCAGGGGCAGCTCCCAGCACTCTGTCCATGTGTGGCAACTCAATTTTGGAGGAACTCTCTGGCAATGCCTGTAATTACAGGAAAACACAATGATGCCATTCCATCCCCCACATCCCACAATGACAAAGCCCAACTATGGACGTCAGTCTGACCATGGCTGATTTGTCCAAGGGCAGACACAATTTCTGGTGCAGCAGGGAAGCCAAGCCAGAACTTGACATCCATAACTCTAAGACGTTCCTTCTTCTCCTTGACTTATGGGAGATTTAATTCTGAATCAGGAAAAAAAAAATCCTCATAATTGGCACAACCTCTGTGAAAAACAGAACTCTGTTCATTAAGAGTCTTGCAGTAGCCAGGGACCATTTGGAATACACCATGTGGGGAAATAGCCTCTGTATTTCATAAATATGCTGTGTTAAAAAATAACAAGTCTAAGAAAAGCTAGCTTTAAAAACCTAGCCAGCAGGGAACAGGGTTACAGCGAGAAGCAGAGAAAGGGCTGAGTAGTGGGAATTTTGCTGGCATAAACCCATGCACGACTCCACACACAGGTTGATAGACTTGAGGAAGTCACAGCTCTAAAAAATTGGTTCACTGCATTTTCTCACAAGTGTCTTTACTTTGTAGTGCCTCTGATATATGCTGCAAGTTGTGTTTGCTAACGGCCCAGAGAGTTTTTACTTTCAACATCAAGTCAGCACACCTTAAGGGTATGGATATGGAGAATTACACCATGCTTAAAGAAAAAGCACAGTTTAGGGAACTCATTTTTATTTATTTATTTTTAAGATGGATGTTTTGTTCAACTTGTATAAATGATTGTCAGCAAAACTGTATAATCCCCTATGTTTTTTTGCTGTGTGTTGATACTGCTTTCTTCCAAACACATACTACAATGCAATGCTCGCTCTGAGTGCAGTCTAGCATTGTTGCTCCTGACTAATTTAAGGGATATTGACAAATGAAAAGTAACGCAAAATATATTTCTAAACCTTGTGGTGAACCCAAATTACCATTACCTTCCAAAAGGTACTGGAAAAGTCTGTGACCTGCTGGAAGAAAGCAGCAAGCCTGACAGCATTACAGATAACATTGCAGTCTGCCTCTCTCTGACTTTAGCATCTCTATCTTAGCAAGCTGATACCACCTGAAAAATTTGACAGATATTATTCTTGAAGGCCAAAACACGATGTCTGTGCAAAGGCAACTCCAGCTACTTTGAGTCGGAGCTGAAAAAATAAGATTACTTGATTTGAAATGAGTGCTTATCTAATGTTCCTTCCTCACTGGCACGCTTGCTTGCTACCACACTTTCAAATGATGCATTTAGCTAAATCTCTCTGCAGTCACTGGCCAGCCTTTTTCACAGAAAATAGGCTGGAGTGGGAACATTGGGAGAGAAAAATCTGCCCGCAACAACCTCCCCTGCAGCATCAGCAGCCAGCCAGTGGTGGTAGTACCTGTGAACCTCCAAGGGAAACTGCTCAGTAAACGACTGAAACCAACCAGAAAACTTGACTCTTTCCTTGACAGGGCTGAAAGAAATGCAAGTTTTGCATCAATAGTAATGAATACAAAGCTTGAATTATGCCCACGTACTAAGGAATCTCCTCAGGCCAGCCCAGAGAAGACAGCCAGGCAGGGCAAGCAATGTCGCGGTGCCCTCAGGATGCTGATCCAGAAACCTGAGCCACAGACCAACATGGGACCAATTTGGTTTCTTACATTGCTCAGTGAGCAATATCCTACAGCCCTACACACGTGGCAGCACACTTGCCATGGTGATGCTCTGCAGCCGACATAGCACGCTCTTTCTCCGTCTCCCAATGGAGTCGTTGAACTGTCTTGCTTGTATGTTTTCCCTAAACATCTGCTATAGACCACTGCTGGAAAGAAAATACCAGTGTAGGCAGATCCTTCAGCTTGATGTAATGTGGCCTTTCTCATCTAACATCAGGTGACTCTGAGTCTCCCCTTAATGCCCATCCTTCCTTGCTATTGCACTTGGAGAGTTGTGGTGTCCTTGTGGCAGAAGCCCCAGAAGACAGTGCTGCAGTCCATACACAGAGATGCGCCTCCATACATGAGAGCTGGTGGGCCATCTCCCAGTCTGTGCTGCATAAGCTAATGCAGCCTCTTAGCTTATGTTCTGAAATTCCTTCCATTTGCAAAACTTAGTATTAGATATCTAATCATGAGATAACATAATCATCATCTTTATGCAAAAGCACATATTTTCTAATACGCCTGTGCCCCTTTAAAACCAGAAAATAGCTCCTGAAGACTGGGTGCCCCTCACATTTTCTGATTGTCCATCAGTGATGCCATTACTTTGTCAGAAATCGCAATAAATGCAAAGGTCTGACCTTTTCCCCCAGATAATTTCCTTTTCATAATAGCAAGAAGATCCAACCAAGCAGTGAATTTCTGCAAGGATTATTGCACTTCTTGGGTGGCTGATATGACTTGGCCTCTGGCATCAAGCCATGCTATGTACTCCAGCAATGCACCGCATTTCATAGGTTATTGCTTGCCTATTACTGCCGGGCAAGTGAATGCTCCATACGCTGGAACAAATTCAAACGCCTTGAAAGGAGATATCTTCCTCAGCGTTAGCATTCCTGTGCTTTGGCTGTAAATTACGCCCAGAGTGTTCATTTTCTTCTAAAATGTGTTCTCATCTCATAATAATTAATGGTGTCAAGTTACTGGTGTGAAAAAAGCCTGACTTCACAACAATGATGGATTAATGAAATAACAGTCATGGCTGGAGTAGCAGCAATAAATTGTTAGAGACGAGTGACACACCTGAAGTGATACTTTCAAAGGCCTTAAATTATTTAGGTTTCAATATTCCTCCCAAATATTTGGCTTTTGTTAACATTTGTTTCTGTGTTAAAAATGGAAGTCAGCAGCTCTGGCAAGAACAAGTCTCACTGATGAGCGTGGGGAAATGGGGTGCCCGTGCTTTCCAAGACATCCTTCTCTCCCCTAGGGATGACCTCCTAATTCAGTGATTGTCTCTAGGTCTCAGAGCTTCACTATTTGGGGAAGTGAAATCCAAACCCCACGGGCTCAGAAAGGTCTAGAAACCACACTGCCAAGCCCACAGGTCCAAATCTCTCTCTTTTTAAAACTGGTATGAAGTGAGAAACTCTTGAAGCAGTCAAAATGAGGAGAAAACAGAGTAAGCAATTTCCACATAGATACCCTTTTGATTAAATTTTTTATTCACTCCATTTTAATATTCAATATTATAACATATGCAATACAAGAAGAAGTGGGACAGAGCCCTGCAGATGTACTGGGAGGGAAGAAAATCTCATTTAGAACATTGGGAAACTTATTTGATGTTAAAGAGCACTACATCAGGCTGTTGGGAGCCACACCTAAGGGCGAGGCAGAGGGAAAGAATATACTATCTCTACTTAAAATGTGTCTGACATGAGATCCTTAATTGCTGGCATAAACTGGTATAAAAAATTGACAACTGATAGCAATGGAATTATATCACGTGTAACTGATGAAGCCTCTCTATGCATTTCCCAATACTTATTATCAATTAAATTAGGTGTTGTAAATTGATAATTAGGTATTGTCAATTAGATTGTCTGGTAGGAAAAAAAGTCCTCTGAAAATTGCATATTCCTCCAACATCAACCCAATTCAGATCATACAGCAAGACTTATAAATGCTAAACATTTTTTGTAAAGCATCTAGGAGCTGATGAAAAGACACCAAAATCTTCAAAAAGCTTCCCAATGCAATAAAAAGCATTTGATTTCCTTTCTCCTTGAATGCTTTGTTTTACCGACTGGAGGTTTTCTTCAGTGCGTTCTCATGATGGCCTCACACTGTTCCTTTATCTCCATCAAGGCTTGCATCAGGCTGTGATCTGTCCCGTGGGTCACCTTCATAATGTCATAGGCCTTGAGGACAGAACAGAAAGGGGCACGTTAGTCACTGCAGGGACCATACGAAGGGGTTGGTCCCTGCTGTGGGGCAGGGATGTCAGTACTGTTCTTCGAGCGGTTGGCAGCCGGGGACTGGCATAATAGAAATAGGAGTGAAGCATCCCAAAGTGTATGGTGATTTGTCCAGGGCGAAGGAGGAGGCACTGACACATTATTGTTAGGTGTTAAAGCCCACTAATATGTTGCACAGATGGATGTTTGGATTAGTAGAGAAAGATACTTTTGCACTCAGGCATGAAGGCCATTTTAAGATTGGTCAAATACAACACCCAAGATTTTGATACACTATTTAAAAGATGACGGTGATGTTCATGTTCGTAGCCTCAAAGTCTGGTAAATAGAAATGGATTAATGCTTAACCAATGGAATAAAGTGCTTTAGCTGTATCAGGAGAAACTATGCATAGGGTCAAACAAATAAATACATTAACAGTTTCACTCTAACAAGGCATGCACAGGAATGGTTCTTTGCTGTTCTTCCCAGGGATTATTTTCTGTCTGTGTTGGTCGTCTTATATTGCCAGGCCAATTTACGCTTGCTGATATCGCCTGTGGTGTTGCTGATTCTCTGCCACAGATATGGCTGAAATGCTCTTTGCCCAGCTCGTGTTTAGATCATCACTTTTCGAATGACATTTCTGCTTCTTCCATCTATTAAATTCCTCCTGCAAGAAGAGAAGTACCAGACGGAAATGGATTCGGCAGTTCTGAAGAAAGAAGGGAGCTAGACGTGTACTGGTAGGAAAAAAGACATCAGAGATTTATCCTCATCCCAAATTGAGGAATTGTCAAAAACTAAATGCAGCCTGTGTTTCAATGGGTTCCTGGTCCAATCAGCTGATAAAATTGAGCTAAATCAGCTTTGGATTGCAGAAAAAGAATCTTTTTGGAAACAAGTGTTGAGTAAGGGGCCTCATTTAAATTGGAAAGATAAAACCAAAAATAAATACATTCTCTGGTAGAATGAATGAAAGCCTACTTCCAAATTTTAGAGACTGGCAAGCATATGGGAATTCTAGCATAGTTTATTTTTGCTTCAAGTTAGCTATTTTTTAAAAGAAGAGGGAGGCAGCAAAAGATGGAAAGAGCAAGTTGAAATAGCAGTCAAAACAAATCAGTGTGTAAGGAGCTCTAAAAAGAGCCAAATATGTACTGAGCTACCACAATGCCCTACTACTAAATAATAAGATAGTTAAACAGAACAATGGAAATGCTTTCATCAGCATTAGAAATGCCTAAGAAATGTGAAATAAAACAGAAATCCTCAATTTTTGAATATTTCCTTTTTAGCAGAAATACAAAGCTGCTCATGTTTTTGCAAAATGTTTGCAAGTAATTCATAATTATATTCCCTTGAAAAGAGTACCTAAATTGGTCTTAGTGTTCTGCTTTTCCTAATTTAGCATATTAGGGAAATGTTGTAAAGAACAGATCATAAAAATATTTCAATACAGAGTGTGAGGTATTAAGCTGTACAAGAGCTTCTTTTTTTCCTTTTCTTTAATAAATAACTGAAAAAGTAGTGTAAAAAGCAAGAGTAAGAGCCAGTCCTTACCTGGCAGAGACAGTAGGATGGAAGCAGATGAACACTGGCATAGTACAGGAATCCCGGGACAGCGCAGAGCAGGAGAGCTACAGGTGGGATCCCCTGTGTGTTGCAGTGCAGCAATGCGTAGCTGCGCCCAAGATAACTAGGAAGGGACGGGATCACCCTAGAGCAAAGTGGCCGGGCAAATTGGCCATGGATCCAGACACACTCGGCGCACAGCATTTGCATGCCGTGGCCAAGAAAGCTGATGGATTTATTGTGAATGATGTACACTAAGAGCTGTGCATCTGGATACATCTGAGTTGCAGTCCTGTGGCAGCTGACCTCGATCTTCAGCCCAACTACAGGACAGAGGTCAGGCTCGTAGTGACCCTGATGTACAGCTAGAGATGTCCATATGAATATGTCTCTGTCAAAAGGCAAAAATTCTTAATACCAAACCCTATCTTGAGATAATGCTGCCATTGCTGAGTTCTCTCTCATCTCCAATATCTCCTTTCCATTTCATCAGTATCGCAGATAAATGCACCCAGTCTTCAGCTTTCTGTTTCCTTCAGGGAGAAAATCGTTCTCATGCAATGCACTGTCTCACACGCTGCAGTACAAGTCAGAGACAGCTGTACCAGAGTTAGAATAGCAGTGGCTTCTGTAATCCCCAAACTAAACTGGCTTTAAGCTAGGTAGCTGGTTTTGCAAAGGTCGGTGCAAAATCGGGGATAATTTCACCTCCAATGCAAGGAACTGTTTTACTGGGCAGAAGCAGGAATATGCAGGCTCTCTGAACACTCCCCCACTCTCCTAAATTGCACAGCTAACCAGCAGAGTGGAGGCTGAGCAGACCCTTGTGCTCTGTGTGGTCTTCCTCTCAGCTAAAAGAACAAATCTAATTATGAAAAACTATAGTAATTGCAAGACGGCAACACAGGCCACAGTGTCATCAACCACACACTGTCTCCCTGAAGAATATAAAAGCCATTAGATTAGTGGTATGGCTGTTGCTCCATGAATGCAAATGAAATGCAGCGCAGTCGTTTGCGCCTGATTTGCATGAGGATGGGACGGGATGCCCGTCACCACAGCTGCAGGGAACTGTGTGCAGATGCAGGACGGCACTGCTCCATCACAGGCAAAGCAGAAGGCAAATGGCCACGTGCCAAAGCAGCGTGAAGCAAAATGACATTTCAGGGGGAGGATCTGTGTTTTTCCACCTCTCTTGACTGAAGGGGACACTTGTTACAGCAGGCATAGGAAAACCAAAATTACAGTTACTATCAACCACAGCTGGTAAACAATTCAGCGTTTGAAGCAAACACATAGAGAAAGGGTATTTCTTTGGTGTTGCTGTGAAACCTGGGAGGATTTTACCCCAATTCCTGTGCTTTTTGCCTTCACACCAGGGATTACAGTAAGAAGGGAAGCGATATTGTATTTATTGCAGGCCTTCGTGAGACAAGACAACCATGCCCATCAGCTCATAGGAGGACAAAGGTGCTCCTGCAACCGTGCCAACCAAGTGGAGGGTCTGCAGGGGAAACCGTTCCGTCAGTGTCGTACATGTGTGCATCCTCCTGCCCACCTGCCACCGTCCCCACCAGCCATCGCTCAGCAGCTGGGCACCACTGCCCTGCTCAGGAAAGTGTGTGGGCACAGGCAGCCACCACCCAGAGGATGGAGCAGCAGCTGAGACACCACATTGCAGCACGCATGGGCTCGCTTCGAGGAGGCGACACTCAGAAATGAAGTCATCTCCTTCAATCCAAGCCTTCCCACCTGCACCCTCCCTGTCCTCCTAAACCAAGTCCAGTTCCACTCAGGTTACCGGCAACCAAAGAGTTGAGCTTACAGTGCTGTGAAGGCAACAAATATTTATGCTAACGAGTGCACCTCAGTACAAATCTATACACTCGCTAGAGGCTCCTGTGAGCTCCAGAGATGCAGCCCCATCCTGGGCTCCTGCAGGAGTGCTGCTTTCAGGTTGAGAAGCTTTTCTCTTCACAAGGCAGCTTGTAGCACCTTTTCTTATTGCCGCTTTTTACAGTCATTGCAGGCTCTTTAAATTAGGTTTGTCAGACTGGGCTCCAGCTCTGGTCTTTTGCTGACAAAGGTTTTCCTGATCTGTAATTCCATTTGTCCTCCCACCATTGCATCTTTCATATATATATATGTATATCAATTTAAAAATAATATGTTGGTTGTACAATAAACCCAGGGCTACCTTCAGGTTTTATTTCAGAAGTGGAGTATTGGCTCTCTGTGACACTTCTATTTCCAAAAGCTGGCAAATTAGATTCTGCAGGGCCTAATATACTTTTAGGGGATGATTTCATTTTAATGGGTAACAGAAAGCCCTCCACATTAAGCCTTCTTTGGGGGTGCAGGGCAGAGAGCTAAACCCAAAAGGCACTAAGAGTAAGGTGGTTATGATAGTGATTCATTTTCGGGCAGCGTGGAGAGCAGCAGTAAGGGCTGGGCTGCAGAGCTGTGTATGAAGATCTACCGGTCTTAACAGACTGCGCATCCGATGCGGAGAGGCTGTCAATCCCCAGCAGCTTTGAGGCTGTGCCTGATTAAACAGGATTTATAGGAGTGAGGTGAATTTCACTCAGATCTCAATTCCTCTGCACCTTCCACATCCTTCTCCTTAATGCTGCACTGAAATTACTCTGACGAGGGCTCCAACAGGGTGCTTTTCGTTGTCAGAGTGTATTAAGAAGAGTAATGAAGCAGAGAAGGTAATCGAGTTTCTGCTCTGAGCATGTGGCATGCTCTGTTGACACATCTAATGACAAAGGGCCAAACTCTGTTCTCATATAACTCTAGGACATTATCTGAGTTATATTAGGAATCACACTCATTACTCGCAACAAACTAGGAATTATATCTTGCTCTAATTTGTTCCAGCGTAGACAGTGATGATTGGAATCAGTTTCAGATCTTATCCAAAGAAGCATTGTCCCCTATGCTTACAAGTTGCATGGAGAAACAGGATGACAAGAAGCTTTTCCTTCTCTCAGCTGTGCTCCCAGAGAGTGGGAGTTCAGTCTCTCCCTGTCTCACACTTGTGGATGAAAAGGGGGAGGCTGAACAGGGAATGGGCAAAACCACAACAGGATTAATTTGTAAATGGTTCTGCATCTCAGCTGTAGAATCCTTACTGTGTCCTTGTGGACCATTAATGGCTTGGAGACCACAGTTAGAGATGCACTGAGGTATAGCATAGAATGGTAAGCGGCATCT